TAATATAAATAAATATATAAAAATTTTAATAAATTAGATTCAAATTTCGAAAGAAGCATTATGGTCGCTCAGTGAAAAAGTTGACATTCAATTATAAGCTTTGTTTACTAGCCAACAAATCAACGGCAGAGGTATAAATAGTAGCAGTCGAAAAGAAGGAGAAGGAGGGCAATTTTTTCAGAATATTAAATGAGCGAAAAAAATCGAAATGAAACTTGAGCGTTCCGAATCTTACCTTCGTTGTTCTCATCCTCGGTTGACTTGGCCGATTGCAGCTTCGCGCTTGGTTGCTTCGCTGCAATCAAAATTCGCAGCTGGCACCAAATTTTTTTCATTCGTTATACCCTTCTTATTTGTTTCTTGCCTTTTCTTTAAGGCCTATTCTTGCCTGTTCTCGCTTGACCAATTGACTTTCCGTCATGATCGATCGTGCAATCCTAATCTCAAGGTCAATTGTAAAATTTTCTAACTACCGTGTGTATGTATACGTAATTATTGAAATTCTATTATCAAATATACCGCGAATTATTGATAAGGAAATAAAATAACAATAAGAACAATGACTCGTACTTTCTCATTGTTTAATGAATAAAAAGAAATATAAGATCATTGTTTTCTCTCTCTGAAGTTTTAATTGTTAATAATCGTATATGGTATTTCTTCTAAATCTCTAGTGGTGTGTATCGTGAATATAACTAGATTATAATTAAATTATAATTAGAATATAATTAGATGAATCACAATTCTCTTTTTTTAATTTTACAATATTAGCACGTAAAAGTCAAATAGCACGACACCACTAGCGATATTATTAATGAGCTGAATATCTGTCAACTCGTGTAAAAGAGAAGAATAACAGGAAAACGCCCGCAAATAAAGATTACGTAGATAAGGATAGTAAAGTTTGATCGTCCATATGATCTATATTGGGTTTATTTCATTTTTCAAGAAAACGAGTACCGTCGACGGAATGGAAAAATCAACGGCGCGGAATTTATTGCAGACAAATTGCCTTATGTAAAACGAGGTCGCAGAAGATCGTGTAAGATAGTGGATGATTAAATTTGAGTGACGACTAGCTAAGAAATCAACTATTAGCGAAATAAGGTCTGGCATAGACATGTCAATAAATATTCGCAGTTATTGGCCCTTTGTATTAATCTTTTGCGGCATAAATGTTTTTTAATATATCATATTATAATAAAATTTAATATATAAGAGTTTTGAGATGCTTTACTATAATTATAATCTTAAATTCTTCAAATTTCTTAAATTATGTGAATAGTTCAAGCAAATCTATGTTGAAGGAATTTGCATTTGAGTTTTTTTTAGCAAATTATCGTTTTTTATCGCAGCATTTTATTTTCCAGCATTAAATATCTATATCAAATTTAATTATTTTGTATATAAATACTTTATAATTAATTAATTTATCAATATAAAAATATCTATAATACAATTCACATCCATATTTATATATACAATAATATAAATTATTATTATTAAGATTTAAAAAATATTAAAAAATTGCACACACACACACACACAATTTCATACGCGCGACAATAATATAATTATTCGTATAGACACGTTCTTAAATGAGGCCAAGAACCGCTTTTTACATTTAATCGCAATAATTTGCTCAATCGAGTGGAAATGATAAGGATCCACCAATCTGATTGACAGCTAACATCTCTTCTCAAAAGTTAGGCCCGAAATAGTGCATGGTTGCCGACAAGTAAAAATGCATATCTACTTTGACCTAAGCGTTCACACAGAAACATCAGTATAGAACAAAAGGAAAATTTCATAACATCGAGAGAACAGATATATGATTATACATATACTAAACATTTTCACGAGACTAATATAAAGAGGAATAAAAATAAACAGAATTTAGCAAATAGAATGTTCTCAGGAGCGTGTATTGGAATAATTATTTTTCTCAAAATATATCCATTAAAGCAGTATCATTAAAATAAAAAAAATTAAGTATCTTTATTTCTCTCTAAAATAGAATCACAGGAATCCAAATGCAAGATAAAAAGGCCGATTCACGCTCGAAAGATGCAAAGAATTTATTGAAACATTAATCTTAAACAATAGATACTTTGTCATATTTTTTTTCTTAATTTTAATATATTACATAAAATATTTATCGTATTGTCAATTTATTCAAAAGCCGAAATGTATATCAAAAGTAGAAATATAATTGTATTCTTTCTTCAAACACATTCGCAATAGTTTTTAAAACTTTCTATTAAAATACTACTTTTTTTCTTATGTCACATGTAAAATATCACGTATCATAGATAAATTTTTCTACTGTTTAAGAGATAAATGTTTGCTGAAAGTAAATACAATCGAAAAAATATGTCTATTGTCTTGCCTCTAATTAAGAATGTTATACTCACTCGATAACGGCGGTTGCGGCGCACGTCGTACAACAGCATGCTCCTGGTGCGGTCCTGTATACTCGTGCCATGTGTACGTGCTCCTGTATTCCGAATGAAGCTGCTGTAACAGATAATTAAACACTGTTTGCAGATTATACTATTGCATATGATAGCATACGATTAAAAAAAAGTTACAGATATAGATAATTTCATTATTATAGTATATGTAATTATTAAAAACTTCCAAGTTATCTCATTTCATATTCATAATATCAATTTCTGTGTAAAGTAAAAATATAGCTAGCATAATACGTCTACAGAATATTTATAAAAATAGACATATAATTGTATAATTATATAAAAATGTAATTATAAAAAATATTTTTTATATAAAAAATTTTAATTCAAAAATATTCAAAAATAATTCATTAATAAATTTTATAAATAATTTACATATTACTTTTTTAAATTTAATAATGTAATGTGAGACTCTTAATATAATGTTATCGTTAGATTTACCTATGTTGTCAGATTCACGAGCTATGATCAATGACTTATAATGCGTTTGCAAAAATAAACTCTATTGTCATAAAATATTTAATTGGCATTATATCCTAGTCGACATTTTATTGTCATTTACTATTCACTATATCAATTAAAATATGTTGTAAGGTTTCGATAGATGAAGGGATCGATGGTTGGGGCTTCCATATTCTATTTCAAAAGGTAAATCCGTAATATCTTTTGAATCAAGCGTAATTAATTTTATTCGAAAGACAGGTAAAGCAAAACAAATTTCAATCCGCCAAGTTATATTTTATAGGAATTAAACATTGAAAAATATATATATATATAATTATACCTTTCTAAAACTTCCTGTTTTATTATCAAACTTCTATATTTGTTGCAATTTTCATCATATATATACATTAAAATATATATGCGCTAATTTCTTCTAGATATACAATGTTACATATGAAGGTGAATTATAGTTATTATTCACTAAATAATTATGATATTTAATCAAACTTGATCGTCTCTCTTTTTTTATTTTTTACCTGTTTCGGACATTACCATGTACAAATTAAACACATTTTCAAATAATGGCCTGGATAATCAACTACTTAATTTCTGCATGGCAATTAACGTGTTAAAATTAACGTGGAATAACAATATTAATTTGTATTACTTTATATATATACTTTCTCTCTCATTAATTATTTTTATTTACTTCCGTTATTCATCTTATTTATCTCATTTTTGTGCGGTTATGATGGCTTTTTATACAAGCTTCTTTATACAAATAAAGTGTATTTTTTGCGAAAGTGATTATTGCATAATAGCTTTGTCAAGTTTTACACACACGAGAAAGTTTCACGACAATTAACACATATCATATCTAACACTTAAACAAGTTTCAACCGCTATCAACATTTATGTTCGGTATCGCTTCCCAAGTGTACAGTCTGTATACATTTGTTAATTTGTCTGTGGAGTTTAACGATAACTTCCAACTTTCTATTCCGGGAGTAAGTTTTCGGACAAATATATCGACATAATTGAGCAAATAGCGATACTGCGAATCAGACGATTTTGTTCCTGTGAACAATACCTAACTATTTTGATAATCACAGGATTGCCATTGTTCACAATATAATAGACAATATCCAATTATGTTTCCAAATATGCGAAGCAATATAGAAAGAGAGAGAGAGAGAGAGAGAAAACATATTATAAAAAATTGTATGTTAATAAAAAATAAATACGATTGCAAAGCGCAAGAAAGTGTGTGATTAATAGTGTTCAGAACAATTTAATATGCATAATAAAATATTGCAAAGTATAATAATATTGTTATTTTAAACTTAAAATAAAATACAATGTGCTAATAAGTAAATAACGAGGAAATTTAAATTTCCATGCCGAAAGTGTGGAAAAATATTTTCTCGATTACGATTTCTCCATTATCCGTAAAATTTTGCAAACATTAAATACTGATTAAGTAATACGAAATATCCATAAATGCATTTTGCACATTTTTATATTTATATATTTTATAAATTTTGTTTATTATAAAGAAAATAGATTTTAGAATTATATCGACAGCTTCCTTGTGTCGATTAGTCACGTAAATATGTGGCAGAAAGTAAGTAGTAAAAGTCAATGTACTATAATGACTTGGCCTAAGCGTTGCGAATATCGACGAAGATATGAGTGGCGCAATGCTGGTTCTTCTACCCACATTCCACCCGCAGAAATCGACTTTTCGGGTCGCATTTTCGCCATAGCAACGACAATTACGTGTCTCAAGTACAAAAAATGCTGAACTCAAAAGTAAAAATATTATTAACGCTTTCTTCACGCGACGAAAAACGTGCGCGTGTGATCCAGCATATCGATCGATACGAGCGAGCAATG